ATTGTGAATATTTTATCTTGATACGCTGGTAAATTTCCCCCATTCTGCAAAATAAAATTGGCGCTGAGGCCCGTCAATAGTGGTGGACACTTTAAACCTTATCTGAAGATAAACTGCATTAGGAAAAGAGGGTTTCGTGCCTGAATGACACAGTCCAAATGATGCACTAATGTTGACATAGTTGGATTCAGCGTACCTTAGCCCACTTGCGTAAATAATAATGACGAAGAATGCAGTTATTTTAAGTGTTTTGGCTGCACGTTTTACCTTGCCTTAAACGCAATTATATTTCACGTACGATTTCTTATATGTGCCTTTCTGTAAGTATACATATGAAAGAAGTCACTTTTTGTCACAGAGATTTCAAAATTCGTATTATATATAAGTGCACGTTTGCGTTATATGTTGGCTGAACACGGCAATGGCTTGCTTGATACTTTTTCTGAAAAAGAAACTTTGCATTGGACTTCTAACGTATGTCGTTCCTTCCTGTGAATGATACAACATTCAAAAAATAGGGGCAGTGTCGTGTCCCTCAAAATGATTCCCGTTTAGTCTGCACCAATTAAAATGTTCAAATAATAATGCTAATATTTCGTAGATATTCTTGATTTAAAATTTTATTATTTTACGCTTTTTAAGTTAATTGGTTCCTCTAATTGGGTCTCTAAGTCAGGGCAAAAAATAAACACGAAAGATTATTAGTGCTTAAAAATATTTTCAGTACCAGTTTTATTGAAACAGTTGTTTCTAAATGCAAACAGATATCAACCTCCACCGTTAGGGCTTATGGCGTTTGTTAGAATTCTGTATGCAGCAGTGCGTTTTTACGATACTTCTTAATTTGGGTTGCTAATATAAAAGATAAGTAAGACTCAATCGGCTAAAAAAACAGATGGAGAATGGTAAGGGTCAGTAATGAGCCGAACACCTCGGAACTATACCATGCAATCCCGAATATCGATGAAATAGGCAACCAGGCGTCTATTCAATACCTAGGCTGTCACATATGTCGAGCAAAATAGACCCAAGTGTGATACAATGCAGAGCTCACGGTGAGCCTCGTAACTCAGTGGTAGAATGTTGGCTGCGCAAAAGCCTTCCCTGCTGTGCGGGTTTGAATCCCACTGAGGCCGCGAATTTTTCGCAATTGCGTCGAATGATTTGAGCAAATCCCTCAAACTCCCCTAGGTTAGTCTAGATGTCATTCTGGTGGATTCTAGATGATTGCTTAGGAAATCCTGTCTGAGCAGTCAGCTTGCTGTTCCGTAATGATTGATTCGCTACGAGCAATAAGTTGGGCGGGTAAAATCGACCCAAGTGTGATTAAAATTGACGGCTCACGGCGAAACTCGTAGCTCAGTGCTAGAGCGGTGACTGAGAAAAAAACCTTCCATGCTGTGTGGTGTCAACTTCCACCAGGCCGCGAGTTTTTCACAATAAGGTCAACCCAATTGAACAATTGTGGTATATCGTGTAACGCTAGTTTATTCTGCTAGCTGCCTGTTCACACTTTAATTAATATTACACGGATATACCGCTGATGGATGGTGTTTGACTCAAATATTCATGTCTACATGTCGACTTCTATGGAGTTGCTGACATACCTGCTCTTAGCAGAGAGCATTGCCGGATACTGAAATGGTCATTTCTGGCTAAATAACCGTCATCAGGCAATCGTAGCCAAACACATGTGGTGCCCCATTCGCAAAAGATTTTGATCTGGAATCGAACGCTCTAAACGCTGAGCCCCAGGCTCGTTGCTCTGTCGGTTAAGACTGGCTGAGCTCGTCTCCCTTACAGTATTATGTTAAAAGTCATGCAGTATATGATCGCAAGATATCACAGCTTCTGGCCTAAAATCAGTTTTAACCTATCCAATTATTTATGCTGTCCTTGCCCTAACGGCGCTATTCCCCTGATGTTCGCTGATATCACCAAAAACTTTGTTATTATTTTACGTTTTATCATGTGAACGGGCTGATTTTCACTCAACATTAGTCTAAATGGGATTGTTTTGTAGCTTTTAACTCCTTAGCGTCGCAAGCTTATTTAAAATCCTAATAAATCTGACCACGCAATATACTTCCTCTATGTGAGAAACTATGTTAATTTGTTGCGTGCCTCATTGGTCACGCCGCATTGTCTTGTGAGACTTCTAATTAGCTCAAAATCGAACGACTGCACAAAACAAATCATATGAATTGGCGTTATCAGCTGCCTATTTATTAGGGCCCCACGCCTATCCATTAACAAGAGGCACGAGTGAGTATTTTAAAGATTCAATAGATGCAGCTTACATTTATGAGACCGTGCGTGAGACCTATGCTTGAGTGAGTTTTACAAACAAATTTTTCAAGCAGTGGATGGGCTGCTTTCCAATCCACAGAACAACAGCGTTTCGTAATAGTATCTTACAGAGCCGTGATATTAATTTTGCATGCGCGTGTAGTTTTATAATGACTTTAAATAAGCCTGACTGGTAGGATGGCTGCGTTGTGGTTTCTGTCACCTGTCAACAGTGTACTGCTGATTTCGCCAATGTGCGTGGATCGCAGATTTCATTCAGTATATGGACATCCTCGGGTTGCTCACTTGAGCGTTTTGGTTAGTGCGGGGCTGACTTTAATAGATCCAGAGATGGCTGTTTCCTACCCAACTCGAGGTCCATTTTGCTCAGTCCTCAATTAAAAGGAAATATGATCGATTGTATAGCCAAAATTTTTGCTCCAATCAAACATCCTGCTTTGATTGTAGGTGGCATCAAACATTTCAGCTATATGCGTATTTATTTGCTCGTTTCTGAAACGAAAGTAAAGTGATCCCAGAGTGGGCGATTCAGCGTGGGCGTCTCGCCAAAGTTTTGCCCGAAATTCATTTAATCATTCTCCGTGGATGACAACTGATACTGTCAAATCCTAAACATATTTAAACAAGTTGCAGTGTAAATTAAATTAATGAATTTTTTTATGTCTCGTTTTAATAAAAACTAGTTGCGCGCAAAAGGAACAAAAATATTGTCAATAATAGGCTTAAGGATTAGTTGATATTATTCAATAATTACTGCTGCTCGAAGAAGGAGTGTGTTTCTGAAAGGTATATCATGCAACAATTTACGATTTATGTGTTCGCATTTTTTTTGCAAGCGTGAATTTTTAGCACCGTAAAGTCATAAAATGAAACATCTTCGATTGGATAGTCGCTGGGCGCTCCCATTATGATGAACTAATCGAAGGAATAAAGTCGATTTTTGATATCAATTTAACAATGGTTTTGAGGAAGCACATTCGTTGGCCGAGTGCTTTTTTATTTTCGTATTGCATTGCACCCAGTTAGTATTTGGTGGCAACAAATGCTTTTTGGCTGGTTTTTCAGCAGAGCCATTATATTACGTAATTTGGTGCTTTGTTTGAAATTTACATTCCGAAAACGCATACTCTGAAGGCAAATATATGCAAGTTTATTGCTTTCCTGTATAAACGGTCTTTTCGTATAAGTTACAAATGCAACTATGGAGTGTTCTATACTCCACTTCACTTTTGTAGGCTTAGAAGGAGGCGTAGCCTAGAAAAGGTTTTATTTTCAAACTTGAACTATTTCAACCCATGTCAGCGTAACATTTTCGGGTTAGGGTATTATACCCCTTATCTTTCAATATTTATTTTTATAAACAGTACATTTTACATATCTAAGGCTTTTATCACCTAATTAGTAGATGTTTTTATGCCCTAGAGTCCGCAGGGTAGCTTTAAAAACGCATAGCTTGACTCCTAAGCACTTTGCGGTTGGAATGGACGACTAACATATTGCAGCCAATACAGTAAAGGTTTATATCAGCTTAACTTATTTGGAGGTGGTATTCACGGAAAATCTTTAGGTATATTTCAGCCACGCTATCTCTGAACTCTTTGAAGTTGTGCGTTTCCCCTAAACCTGGAAATGTTTGTGTCGAACTTAATCTCTAAAACTGCTAGTCAAACATTGTTGCCTCATTCAACGAACAATTCAGAAAATTCTACTCTTTATCACCAGGATGTTGGGATTCACGTCGGACTCCGTATTGTAAAAATAATAAACCACTCAATCGTGTTTTCGGAAAACAAATATGGAGATGATTCATATTGCCCGCGTAAAGTCTGTACATACATGAGTTTCGCAAACCAATCTGGCTAAACTATTGTTTCTGGGGACAGTTGTTAGTGCCAAATCTGTTATTTGACTTGCTTGCATCAGGATTATTCCATTGAGCACAAGATTTTATTAAATACCCATTATGATTTTATAATTCATGTTATGCTGCCTGCCTGTTTGTGAATAATAACTTCATTTTGCTACATCAGTGAATGATATAAAGATACTGTACTGATGATATTTTCACTGTTAATACACTGGAGCTGTAATATCAAAAATGAGGCCATTCATATTTGGCCAAATTGTCTTCATTTCTGTTTTGTGTTATTTTCTGGTGGGCAATAAATTTCCTTGTTATCGTTATCAGCTGATTTCAATTTATGCGGATATACGAAAATAGAATATAAATTGTTTGCCATAGTCACCTTAGAATCTGGAAAGAAATCTTTTCGTGTAACTGTCCATGCTCCGCAATTAGAGTAAAATTCTTCAGCTGTTCCCTGCTAGCTATTTATATGTCGCTTAATAACCTAGATATTACTTTTTTTCAGAGCATTTAAGTGAAATTTCATTTATTTCAATCAGACTTATATATGAACAATGTCATTGACATCAGTCATTTTTTAAAGTCCAACGTCGGAGGTATGCTCTGAATAAAAGTCCGACATGGATGCAAAGAGAACGAGTGGGGATATAAAAATAATGTCGGCTTCTGCAAGTTATTTGTGCAATATCTGATTTAACTTCTTAATTTAAATTGAATGTTTGTAGAATTTAAATTATTTGCTGTTTTAATGGGCAAACCCTTGCATTTTAGATTGGAAGAATCAGGCATTTCGTTGGCGCCACCATCAAAACTAATTTTTTGGTTCTTGAAAAATAATTCCGTTGCCAAAAGTACAGAGAAGGAGAAGGGAACAAAGAGCCACTTCAAACCCACGATACTTCGTTCCTTCTACCCACAGGATGATAACTCAATACTCAAAAATTCGGAAAAAGCTGATACGTCCATTCCGCGACTACTACTGAGAACAGACTACAACCGGCATGATTCCTCTACCGCCTATTCCCTACCCAATTTCTACGTCCTCACCTTGGCCCACATTCGTCTAATATTCTTCATTCTTGACTGTTTCCTTATTGTCTTTCGTTTCTACAACACCTATGTTGTTCTAAAAGAAATTCTCATTGGCAAAAGTGTGATTATCGACGCCTCCAGCTATCTCACCACCGTGACATTGTCATCAAAGAACGCTATTGGTTCTGACGGGGCTGGAAAGTTAGCTACAAACCGGGACGGCGAGAATTATATTGACGGAGGAATGTACAAAGAAATTGGTGATTCCTGTCCCTTTTCAAACGAAGCCTACCTTCGTGCAGTGCAAGAAGACGCTTTCTACTACTGCAGACACCAGTGTAGCCCAAAAATGCAGGTAAGGGGAAATATCTGCTAATTAATGCAATGAAATTACTTTTGCTTGCATATTTTGCTTATATAGCAAAACGTCATGCAGAATGAGACAAATAGCACAGTTCTAAGTCAAGGATTCTATGCATTTATAGGCTAAACCCTTTCCAGCTGAGTTTGCAATTATATTATCATTATATCATTATTCTCTAAGGAAATTTAAAAAGTTGAGAAGTCAAGTTTGGCAAGCATATGTTTTCATCCAATCGTCATCAGGCTAAAACACTTGCAGAGTAATGAAAACTGTACAGTTGGACAGGGTTAAATAGTGTCGCCTAATTACATTTCATCGTTTACGCGACGCCCGCATGGTGAGGTTGGCGTGTAGAGGTTCCTGTATTGTGGGAGGGAGGAGGTTTGGATGAGGTTATTGGGTTAGGTTGTGGGGGTTGATCAGAGGGCAGATACATGAAGGGATAATTGCTGCCATTTGCGCGCAGTGAACGAATGTCACTGGGGGGTGGGGGCAAAATGCGATCACCACCTAGGTCGTGCAAGTCTCCTGATGCCTTTGAAACTATGTCACGAGGGCACAGTTTAACCATAAGTTTGGAATAGTTTCACTTTGTGCTCCACGGCACGATGGTACGGGGTCGTCGTTACATCTCAGTTTTAGATCCCCGACCTGGCGTGGTATACAAAAGAGCCAAAGGGACCGGAGGTGCAGCGAAGAGGTCGACCCTGGGGAAAGGGGTGCTCTGCAACAACGTCCTTCAACAAATTCCCTATATGGCAGGTTTGGATGCAGGCTCACGACGTGTCGGTCATTTGTACTCAAACCCAGCATCGGATGTCTGACCATTTAGGACAATGGCTTGCGTGCATAAGAGGTAAGGGTGACAGTAGTTTGTGCAGTGCACCTCATACATCCATAGCCCCAGCATTTTGTCCTATGGAAGCGGAGGTTATAGGAATTTTATAGGTTGGAAATTACGATAGGCCGTAAGATATACTTAAATAGGCGTCATATGCATTTTTCTTTTATTGCATTTAGAAATGTTGTTGATATATAGCTGTAGCTTTTCCTAATCCGTATGATCCTTTAACGTATTGCAAAAAAACCCGATTATCAAAATTCGGGTTTCTTGAAATTCCTAAAAAAAATAGAAATGGTGGTCAGGAGGTCGTCCACTTCAACTTACCTGAGGTCCAACTTACGGTTCTGGAGCTACGTTGATATAGTCCGCGGCGCGAGGCCCCGCACACACCTTCAATTTGCATGGGGAACAGTGGCTGCGGGAAAAATTAAACTACATTTTTCTATTTTCCACTTACTTATTCAAATTTGCTTCACTGTCTATCCTATTCCCCCCTCCACAAACCCTTATAACCATCGTTTCCGTAGGAACACATACTGGGACAAGGGGTATATGAGGTGCACTACATAACTAATTTTGCCGAGGAAAAGGGCGTGACATTTCCTCAGCAGATATTTCCCACCCTGATGTGCTCTCAGAATATAATGACTTAGAAGGTGTCAAATGACCGGATAAGGTGATCATTTTAGAACACAGAGTAAAGCCCAATGGCTATTTATTAATGTGGCTAAGGTGGAACGCATACGCGTATATGATTCAGGCTGCGTACTTCTTAATTCGGTGAAGGTCTGGTCCGTCGTAAGTGGACGAGATGTGTACGTGGCGTGAGAAGGTAGGCTATTTAATCTTGTCGGTCATTGCGCCGAAGGCTGCGTTCGGTCGTCTTAGTTGCGCCTTGCCACCAAGCTCAGGCGAGTTGGAATGAAGAGAGTGAGGCAGAGGTCGCTTAAGTCTGCTATCAATACACTTCAATATAGCTCAATATATTTAGGATAGCAGGCAATGCCTTTAAAGACCCTATTTAAACTGCATAAGCTCATAAATGTTAAACATCTCGTCCCTGTGCGCACCACACGGTTTATATCTTAATGGGCGACGGACAAACTGGGAACATTTCGCGAGACGTACAAAAAATTGGCGCGATTAGCCGCGGACGCTTCGAAGAGTTTTGGTGAGTTACCTATTGTCAAAGCGCTAAGTAAACAGAAAACGTAAGTGCCGAGCGTTGGTCCGTTGGTCGACTCTGAGCCAATCGATTTTTCTACGTCGCCTCGGCTTTTTATAGGATGTTTTGTGGGCAACTTAGCCACGTTCGTGTTGAGTTCCATCTCGACGGATGTGAGGGGTAGACGGTGAAGCTTGTGCCGGCGTTGTTGCATCCCGAGGTTCTTTTTTTCCGTCAGATGAGTTTTCCCCCTAATTGTCTGTGCGGCTTTTTCAATTTATGTGTGGC